CTCCCGACCCGGAGTTGGCAAGCCACCCTTTCCCGGTCGATAACCATGGTCTGAGATTTGGAGGTGCTGATCCTCATCTCAGCCGCTTCACACTCTGCCGCAAACCTACCCAGCAAGAGCTGAAGGTCAGAGCTGGATGAAGCTAGGAGGACCGCATCATCTGCAAAAAGCAGAGACGAGATTCTCCTGCCACCAAACGCGACACACTCCACACCACGCCTAGAAATTCTGTCCATAAAGGTAATGAACAGAACCGGTGACAAAAGGCAGCCCTTGCGGAGTCCAACCCTCACCTGGAACAGGTCTGACTTACTACTGGCTATGTGAACCAAACTCATGCTCCTCTGGTAAAGGGAATGAATGGCCCTTAACAGAAAGCCACCCACCCCATACTCCTGGAGCGTCCCCCACAGGGTGCCCCTGGGGACACGGTCATAAGCCTTCTCCAAATCCACAAAACACATGTGGATTGGTTGGGCAAACTCTCATGCCCCCTCCATCACCCTTGCAAGGGTATAGAGCTGGTCCACAGTTCCACGGCCAGGACAACAACCACATTGCTCCTCAGTCTGAGATTCAACTATCAATCTGACTCTCCTCTCCAGTACCTTGGAGTAGACCTTTCCAGGGAGGCTGAGTAGTGTGATCCCCCTATAGTTGGAACACACCCTCAGGTCACCCTTCTTAAAGATGGGAACCACCACCCCGGTCTGCCACTCCACAGGAACTGCCCCCAATGACCACGCAATGTTGCAGAGATGTGTCAACCACGACAGCCCTACAACATCCATAGCCTTGAGATACCCAGGACAAATCTCATCCGTCCCTGGTGCTCCGCTGCTGTGTAGTTGTTTGACTACCTCAGCAACTTCTGCCCCCGAGATTGGACAGTCCATCCCCAGGTCTCCCGGCTCTGGTTCCTCCTCGGAATGCGCGTAGGTGGGATTAAGGAGCTCCTCAAAGTATTCCTTCCACCGTCTGACTATAGCCCCAGTTGACATCAGCAGCTCCCCATCCCCACTGTAAACAGTGTGGGCGAGTTGCTGCCTCCCTCTCTTAAGGCGCCGGACAGTTTGCCAGAACCTCTTTGGAGCCGATTAGTC